TCTGTCAATATGGGGTGCTGTGTGTACATTAATGAGGAAAAAAAATTAACTTAAATGATTTTAGCAAATGGCTGCAATATAACAAAGAGTGAAAAATTTAAGGGGGTCTGAATACTTTCCGTACCCACTGTATATGTACTATCATGCTATTTAAGTTAATTATCTGAATGTGGTCCACCTGTGCTGAATTAGTTGATTATCTGAACATGCTCCTCCCTCTCTCATTTAAAAATGTATTCCAGGGGCAACGTTAGCCTACATTTAGGCTTTATTCAATGTTTATTTTTATTCAAATGTGTTATATGTGCACGTGTCACAGACAAAAAAATTATTAAATAAATAAATATAAATATTCAAATCTGAAGAATGCATATGGAAATACATGGAGGGCAAAATAATATATATATATATATATATATATATATTAAACTTCTTAAAAAATATATTTATATATTTGTGCATCGCACACTGTTTTGTTGTGTTGGTTTCTTCTCTGGATTGGGATTACCCTCTTTTGTGTTATTTTAAAATCTGTACAATTTCCTCGGGACCTAAACGTTACAATATATTTATGTAAAAATATTTCGGAATATATTTTAGCAAATATATATATATATATATTTGGCCTTTTTTTGCCGTATGGTACATCCTGATACATAGCATTACTGTTTGTCATAATTTAATCCATCATGAATTTCATGAATCCAGGCTGGGTGGTGTTTATATGGGAAGGAGGATACGGGATTTGCTGGGAAGAGTTCCAGGATTACATGCTGCCAAATCTGTTTTGTGTCCCCTGATGTCTGTTTGTTATATCAGCGGTGCAAAGTGTGAGAAAATGATCAGCTGTGTTCAGAGTTGAGAAAATGCCCCTGGCTTTCACTTATGTTCAAGCTCTGGCATCATTTCATCTGCTTCCAATCACATACATAAACAGCCTCATTCAGCCACAGGCTCATCGGCACTGAAACCTGCTCACATAACCGAAAAAAACTACTGCCTCGCAGAAAAACCTGCACATTCCAGTGCGAACTGTCTGCTGTACCAGTGTGTGTGTGTGTGTGTGTGCAAAAATGAGTGTCCATATAACGTGGGATGGTGTGTTTTTTTTTGTGAGATTTCAAAGTGTGGAAGAGAAAATCTGCAAGCAGCTCTCATGAGTTTCTCTGAATCTCCATATATATATATATATATATAGAGAGAGATAGATAGATAGATAGATATCCTTATATATTTCCTCGTAGAAGAAATCATCTTGGTTCAGTATATAACCCAGGTTCTCTGAAAAGGGAACGAGATGCTGTCAGCAGCTGACACTATGGGAACATGATCCAGGTCTGACGATTGTCTGAAACCTGTATAGAATCATGCCAATTCATTGCCATCGTGTTACCGGTGCCATAAAAGTTTGTGCCCATACCATCGCTCCTCAGATTCCCAGCAAGAGAAGGTATGAAGCTAAGGAGTATGGCAAACACTGTACCACAGCAACCTCGGGTAGATATCCTATCCTGCAATAAGACCTAAACCAAACCAATGCAGGAAGAACTCACCAATAAAGCCTTTGTAGAGATGTCAGGGACAATAACATAACCATTGCACAGGGTTATGTTACCTTAAAGGTGTCTTTGGGTCAGAGAAGGGGTGAGGAAACTGCTGTTCAAATGTGCTGTCTGTCACCCGAAACGTCTCCATTGTCACACGCATTTTAGGTCTTGGAGTAATGAGCTAATGAGTTGAATCGGGTGTGTTTGATGAAGGAGACATGCATAATGTGTTGGGGCACTCCAGGAAGATGGTTGGGAGTTACTGATGTAAACTACAGCACAACTTGCTCCTGTGCTCCGAGAGTATGAGTGAGAAAACAGTTGTTCAAGCATGTACATTTAAACTATTGTCATCCAAAACGTCTCTAGATATCACTCCATATAAGGGGCCCAACATGCACCACCCTTATGAAAAAGAAGTTTATTCAAGTATGCTATTAGTATACTTGTTTTAAACTAAAAAATAGGAAAGTGTACTTTGTCTACTTTTTATGTACTTCTCAGAAATATACTTAAAATGACATTTAAGTATACTTGACTTATACTTAGAAAAAGCCTAAATATATTTAAACTATAGCTACTTGTGCTCCGGGAATCCATGTTTTTATTGTTATATGGTAGGGGGCACTAGTACACATCTTCTGTACAGAATTTCCAAAACACAAGCAAAGAAGAAACCGAAACAACAGATGCTTCCACACGTAATCTAACACGATCATCAGACATAAAACAGCATCAAAACTGTGTAACGTTATGGAATAAAATGTCGACCCATGAAGAGGTATAATGACTGTCAAGCTTTGAGGTGTTGATCGACTCTTCTGAATCCAATTCATAGTCTTTTTTCAGTTTTTTGT